ACAATACATATATATATATATATATATATATATATATATATATTACAACATATATAATTTTTTTATAAGCAATTATGTATTTTTTTCCCACCAATCAATATATCTTTTATGCACAAATTATATTTATTAAATACCTAATTTCCATCGGCGATCATCATCCGTAACCATATCTACTTTATTTAGTAAATTGTTTTTTAACTCTTCCACATTTTTTGATTCTGGAAATCTACCGGCAATACCAGAAATAACAATTTCTTCACCAGGTTCAGGTGTCTTGTAACCTTTCGTAAATAATTTCCTTGTAGTCATCGTTCCCAAGATCTTCAGATTTCGTTAATTTAAAGGAAAAAAGTATTTCTAAAATAAATTATTAAAATTATTTTATTGATTGAGAGATTTCTCAATTAATTCATCAATTATAAAACATATTTACAATTAATTTTCTTATCTTATATTCTTGCACCATACAGTAATTTACAATTTGTTTTATTATAGGCAACTTAATGAGCTTATCAACTTAATGAGCTTATCAACCGATTCTGTGAACGATGACTCGCAACTGAAAGACAAGACAGCGGAAAACAACGAGTTTTTATAACGAAGTACATCCCTACCTTCTATGAATTCCATTATTGTTACTTTGAACTTCCTTTAAACATTTGCATTACTAGTGAGAAATAAATCAAAACATTTTTCTGAAAACCTTAATTTACTATCTTTCAAGTATTATATATTTATCATAAGAGACTTAAATTTCACAAATAATTATAGAATAACAATGGACTTTTGAGCATTATTTATGTGCGTGCATAATGCAATAAAAATTATATACTATTTACGTTTTAATTAATACATGCATTCGTGTTAATCTTTTTTTATTAAAAGAGAGTACTTTATTATTATAAAAACACAGATTGAATTATGACAAATTTTATTGATACAATGCAGAATCTAATAACAGAGAAGCTACACATCTATTAGTTTATAATCGAAATTTTCGATCTTAAGTAATAAATATTATTAAACTGTATCAAGTTTTACAAATATGTTCGTTTAAAAATTTAACGTTTATATATTTTTTAGATATAATTTTTAAGACAGAATAAAAACATTCTTATTTATAAAATAATAATTGTTAAAATGTTCTGTTTCAGTTCTTTTTCCTTATGTAACTGATATATATAATAAATTACATACAAAATTGATTAAACTGTTATGAAATGTTGTAAAACTAATCTCAATCTTCACATTATGTACAAAAGAATAATTTATGAAGAAGATAACGAAAAGATATATGTATAACTATATGTGTGTGTATATATATATGCGTATACATATATATATATATATATATATATATATATATATATATATATGCAAGACTTAGCCAAATAAAAAAACATACTGTTTGACATCATATTTGATTATGTGTTACAAATAAAATTTCTTTTATAATGTTCTTTTCCTGCCGCTCGTATAATGAATATTCGGCATGACAGGAACACAGAAGTCAAGGGTGGCCGGATACCGCATCAGAATACATTACATATGCTATCATGTTCTATCAGTTCGACGTATACTGTTATGCACGAATGTGTTGCAATATCACGTGAGCTACAGATTACATTTACAATTTGTTTTTATAAAAAAAATTGTGATAATTTGTTACGATAAAATACAAAAAGGAAAATATAAAGAATTACTTTTAAGAGCTGATATTATGCACAACTATTTTTTTAGAAAGTGACATAAACAGCACAATACTATAATTAAGATATATTTTTATTGTCTTCACATTCATTTTAAATTAAATTATAAAAATACAAAAGTTTTATTTTGATGTAAAAAAAAATATATTATAT